CTCCAAATTCCTTGTAGATTGCAAGATATAAACTTCAAAAGAAGGGTTAGTGATATCAAAATTTCCTCTACTCGGTTGTGAAAGGGCTTCCGCGATCGCGATTCACAGTGCCCAAATAACAAATTTGCTCTTCGCAAACATGACCCAAAGTCCGCGATCGTGATGCTCACTCTTGTGGCAAAAAACCAGCAAATAAAAATGGCCTAAAATGGTTTGAAACTATCCTGAAACTCATCCAAGCCCCTCGGGACCCCGTCGGAACATACCAACAAGAGCCAAAACATAACACGGACCTATTCGATGCCTCAAATCACACATAACAACATCTAAACCACAAATCGTCGATCAAGATCAATCTCTTAAGTTCATAAACCTCAAACTTCGAACCAAACGTCCGATTCAAACCTAACTAATCCGGAATGAACTCAAATTTTGCATACAAGCAATTCGAACTCAATTTCATCAAAGTAAACTCTTTGTCAAACTTATGAACATTCCAAACCTTCAAATTTCAAACTTTCGCCAATTAATGCCGAAACCTCCTAGAAATATCCAAATGCAAATCCGGGTGCATGCCCAAGTCCAAAATCACTATCCGGACCTAACAGAACCATCAAAACTCCGATTCGAGGTCAAATACTAAAAAGTCAAACTTTATTAACTCTTCCAACTTAAAGCTTCAAACGTGAAATTCATTCTTGAAAAATAATTCTTAATCACCTAATAATCGAAACAAATGATACACACAAGTCATAATAAATCGTAAAGAGTTACTCATGCCCTCCAACCATCGAGCAAAGTGAAAATGCTCAAAATCACCGGTCTGGTCGTTACACAAAATAACCAATCAAATATGTCCAAGAATGCAGTACAATTTTTATTACTTTTTGTATAATTAGTTAAGTGTAACGACCCGACCGGTCGTTTTGAGCTTTTGCACTTTGCTCGCCAGTTTTTGAGCATGACTAGCCCCGTGTGATGTATTAAGGCTTATGTAAATTGCCGGTTTTGGTTTTCAGGGTAAACGAAGTGAATTTGGAAAAACAATTCTCAGTTTGAAGCTTAAAATTTGGAAGGTTTGACGAAGATTTGACTTGTTAATAGATGACCTCAGATTGGAATTTTTATGATTTGGTTAGCTTCGTTAGGTTATTTGGGACTTAGGAGCGTGGTCGGAATATGTTTTGGAGGTCCGCGAAAGGTTTAGGCTTAAATTGGCGAAATTGGAATTTTGACGGTTTTCGGTTGATGAGTGAGATTTTGATATAGTGGTCGGAATGGAATTCTGGGAGTTGAAGTAGGTCTGTTGTGTCAATTGGGATGTGTGTCCAAAATTTCAGGTCATTCGGACATGGTTTGGTAGACTTTTTGATCAAAAGTGTAATTTGAAAGTTCTTGGAATTCCTAGGCTTGAATCCGATGCAAATTAGTGTTTTAATGTTGTTTTGAGCATTCTGAAGGTTGGAACAAGTTTAATGATGTTATTGGATATGTTGGCATGTTTGGTTGAGGTCCCAAGGGCCTCGGGTGAGTTTCGGATGGTCAATCGGACCATTTCATGTTGTGAAAAATTGCAGAATTAGTGTTGTTGGTGTTGCAGGTTCTTGACCTTCGCGTTCGCAATGCATGTCCCACGTTCGCGAAGGGTTAAGGTGTGAGGCTTTGGAGTTGGCCTTCGCATTCGCGAAGATGGTTCTGCGATCGCGAAGGTGTGAGGTCTATGGTCATCGCGTTCGTGTGGCTCATATCGTGTTCGCATAGAGGAAGACAGGTAGCTGGGCCCCCAATGCATTTTTTCTACGCGTTCGCATAGTAGGGGTCGCGATCGTGAAGTATTGAGTGCGTTGTGCATCGCATTCGCGAGAAGGTTCTCGCATTCGCGTAAAAGGAATTTTGGTTCGTGGAGCGTTGTGCTTCGCGAACGCGAGGGATATGCCGCGTTCGCGATGAGGAAATACCTAGGCAGACAGTTTATTTTTTAAAAATCGAGGGTTTATGTCCAATATCATAAAAGTCATTGGAGAGCTCGGGAGAAGGTGAAAATTTAAAGGGATTTGCAGTGGAGCTATTGGTTTAAGTATTCTTCACTCATATTTGGTTTAGTTCCATGATTTAGTCTTGAATTTCATCATTTAATTTGAGAAATTAGAGTGAAAATTGGGGAAAAATGGAAGAAAAGTTTGAGAATTCTCTTAGGGATTTGAATGGCCAATTGAGGTCGGATTTTGATGAATTTTATATGGGTAGACTCGTGAGTGGATGAGGATTCTATTGATGTGATTTTGATCAGATTCCGAGACGTGGGCCCGAAGGACGTGTTTGAGCAATTTCAGGATTTTTTATGTAAATTGGATATTTTCTACTGGGTTTTGTTTTCTTATCATATTTTAATAGTTATATACTGATTGTGGCTAGTTTTGATACATCCGGAGGTCGATTCGTGAGGGCAAAAGCATCGCGGGCTAGAGTTTTGACCGGATCGAGGTGAGTAATGATTGTAAATATTATTCTGAGGGTATGAAACCCCGAATTGCACATCGTTGTGCTATATTGAGGTGACGCACATGCTAGATGACAAGCTTGGGGTTATGCACTGTTGGGGATTGTAACTTCTCGAATGATTGTTTTACCACAAATTGTATTGTCACTACTTATTTTGGGATATTATCATGTTTAAGGCTTAATCGTATTAAATTAACTGCTTAAAATGGATTTGGGAATGTGTCGGCTGGCCTTGTCATCATGAGAGGCGCCATCACGACCAAGTCTGGGTTCAGGGTCATGACATGTTGGTATCAGAGCCTAGGTTACATAGGTCTCACGAGTCATGAGTAGGCTTAGTAGAGTCTCGCGGATCGGTACGGAGATGTCTGTATTTATCCCTGGGAGGCTGCAGAACCTTTAGGAAAAACTTCACATTCTTGAACTCCTACCATGCCTCCTTGATTCAGTTTGAAATGTAACTCCTTGAAATCTTTCTACGCATATGTATGCGCGCATGAGCGCTCAATATCAGATGTGCATTGATGTCTTGTGATTCCCTGATCGAGGGGCAAGACGTGATCTCTGTGTGTTGATGTTGGTCCAGACTGGAAGACTTGAGGCAGAGGTTTTGCCTACAGCTTGAGCACTGAGGAGTCGATTATGTGAGCACGTGCTTTTGGATTTGTATTGCCGATAGTGTTCCTATTAGTGGGAGTGATGACTGGATAGTTGTGTGATGAGTATGATGAGACTGCGAGATATATTCATATGATTTGGAAGCGACGAGAAGGATCTGCTGGAGGATAGAAGAACAATTAGGTGTGTGATTTCCGTCTTCATGATTTTAGGGTGTTTTTGACCAGCTGTATGGAATGAGTGTAAGGTTTGATGGAGAAATATAGGGACTGTGGATTTTGAATAATCTTTCCGACTCTTGAAAAACTCTTTGTGTTTTTTTAAAACTAATTTGTTGCTCCCATTGGTGTTGTAACTATGAAATATGCTAAAAGTAGTGTATTGAATGAAGAAATGAGAAGAAGATCTCAAGCCTTATCTTCTTCAGCTTCACACTTCGATGTTTTGGTTAGTAAAGACAGGGGGAGAACCAACTTTAGATGTCAAAATAATAGAGGCAATGTAAAAGCAAATCAAGGTCCAGGTACAAGAATATTACATGTGTTCATTGTAACAAGAGAGGGCATATCAAGAAATATTGCTACAGGTTTAGGAGAGAAATGAGACAACAAAAGAAAAGTGACAATAATGAAATTCGTGTTTCTACTGTTGTTGATGAAAATCGTGTTGCTACTGCAACATAAGAAAGATGACAAGAGGTTTATCTTTTACTGCCTATTATTGTTAGGGATGGCAATGGGGCGGGGCGGGGGCGAGGCNCAATTTCACATTCTTATTCACTAGCACGAATACTATTTTAATTTATAATTAACCAATTTGCATAAGTTTCACCAAAATGATATTACATTAGTTAAGATATTATTATTGACGCCTTGATAATACTGCTTAGAGAGAAACCCGAGAAGTTATGTCTATTATTATCTTCTCTGAGGATTTAATCAAGGATATTTTGCAGCAACATCTGGGTGTAGGAGCTGGTGGTTTTCTACTTTCATCATTGCAAGATGGTAAATGTAAATGTTTATGTGATTCTATTAAACTCTCCATTTTATAAAATAATAAAATGTCAAACTAATTTATTTTAAAAAAAAATTAAAGAAAAAGAAAAAAAATAAGTGAGGCGGCGTGGGACGGGTCCAAGCGAGGCGGGTTAAACTTTTTGTGGGTTTTGCCAAACCTGCGCACCCGCCCAGCCCCACCCTATTGCCATTCCTAATTATTGTATCTTATTTATTGTTAAATCATCTTTCATCTGATTAGTGCTTTCATATCTAATATTTCCAGTAAAATTGATAATTGTTGTTCTCTATCTTAAAATTAGCGAGCTCACCATATGCTTCTTGTTGTTCTCAATTAATAAAACCAGCCACATCTTGGCATAGACCAAAAAAAAGAAGAAGATATATATGAGGTTACGATGTTATAAAAATGCGATTATGATTTTCCACCGAAGGTAGGAGTATAGACACGCCTAACTAAGAAATACGTACGGTAACTTGCGATATAACAATAAAAGTAAACGTATAGGTAGTTTGACTCGTCAAGTTCCCATTAAAATATAGGATTCACTAGGGGTGGGCATAAAATCTGAAAAACCGAATTCCGAACCGAACCAAATTAATTTGGTATTTCGGTTTCGGTTTTTTCGGTATTTCGGTCTAATTCGGTACTGGATTTTCGGTATTTTGGTTCGGTTCTCGGTATTATAATTTTACTATTTCGGTAAACCAAAATACCGAAAATTTGGTGAACCTATATAATATATATGACTATGTCTAAGCCCAATTGGCCATGCCGTCCCACCCAGCTCCCCCAAGCCCAATTACCCAAGCCCCAAGCCCATTACTCTTCCTTTCTAATCTCTTCTCTTACGACTTAAGCCTTAGTTACTCTCTGTCTCTCTTAGACCATCTGAATCAAATTAGGGCATTAGGATTTAGGGCTTAGGATATCATCTGAATCGAGAATCTACTGCGAGTCTGCGTCTGCGAGTCTACGTCTCTACGAGTTACGACCAGTCGACAGTCGAGCTCGAGTCTCATCTCATCTTCACCGGTTAACTTCACTACTTTTGTAAGTTTTGTAAGTCTCATCTCATCTCAGTACTCTCTGAGGTTTCTTCCGAGTTTTTATATTTTTAAGTTTTGAACTTTTTGAGTTCAGAGTTCAGACGCATAATTTTTTTAATTTCTGATTTTCTGCATCAAACTAATTTAGGGTTATAGGCGGTGATTTCCAGCTTGATTCAATTCCTCACTCCTCACAAATTCCGGGCAAACGAAGTGTCGAAGACGCTGCTGTCCTGTTCCAATGTTCCGAGCTCGATTCAATTTCAATTTCAAAGGTATGTTTCATTTTCTTTTGGTTGTACTGCTGATTGAATGAACTACTGTTCCGAGCTTTTCCCTTTAGTAGGCAAATATCATATGTATCACGTTCATTCTGTTTAATTCATTTGCTTGTATAATTGGTATTTTTATCTAAACAAGCTGCAATTTTTCGTACTATTTGTTATTGTAAATGAATGTGCAGAAATAAGATACTATTAACATGTGTTTCAAGTTTGTTTTGATGTGTAAGAGAAAAACAAAAGATACTGGGAGCTTTCAGTTTGGCAATGGTTAATGGTTTTCTCTATCCAATTTGCTGTCATAACTTTTTTTCAATCAAAATGGAATGTGTAATCAAGTTATTTGTGTATCATATTCCTCTTTACTCAGTGACCAGATACAGTGGTAAAATTTAATAAGGGATTTTACCTTATACTTAGTATAATTTTTCGGCGAAGTTGTGAGTACACGACTATGTGTTAGGCTTACCATATGATTACTTTGTTTAGGTCTGATTTTTAGAACTTTCCTTGCATTTTTCTTGTGATAGACATTAGACTCTTTAGGATGATGACAGTTGAGTGAATTCACTGTTAGTCTTCTTTGTTATGACATTCTTATGATTGCTGGTTTGGAAAGATTTAAATAATTGTGTACTTGTCACTTGAGTAGTAATGACCATGGTTTTTTATTTATTTATAGATGGCTAGAAAAGGATATTGTTAATGGCTTCTTTAGCCTTTTTAGCTTTTGCTTAGATGCAGTTACATTAGACTGCTGCTGCATCTGTTGGAAAAATATTGTTATAGCAGAAACATGGTAGTTGAAGCTACTTATATCTAGTTTGAAATAACTAAAATCTAAAAGTGCACTCTCATATTTACATTCTCTCAGCACTCTAATTTAATATTTTGTGTGTATTTTAATTCAAAATAATATATCATGCCTTTTCATTTGTATGACACATTTGGTCGTATTATCTTTAGATATGGAAAATAATGGAAGCACTACTAGCATTGTTTGATGTATAGTTGCAACTTGCATCTTGAGTGGTAAGTTTAATACTCTATTTGTTTGGTGATAATGATATACTTAATATTTTGTAGTTTTGTTTTATTATCATCAAAATATAATATTCTAACTTATGATTTATATTTTTTTTTAGGTTCCAGTACTGCTCAACGCTCCGTGCTACTGCTCAACGCCCCGTGCTACTGCTCAAGACTGTTTGTTGAGGGATGCCCCTCTCTGTTTTTGTTGCACTATGTTTAACTGTTTAAGTGTTAAGACTGTGCAGACTTGCAGTTGACCAGTTGCAGTGTTGCACTGTGTTTAAGTGTTAATACTTAAGAGTTAAGACTGTTTTTGTTCGACTGTGTTTAACTTGTTTAACTGTGTTTAAGTTGTTGGACTTGTTGGACTGTGTTAAGGTTTAACTGTGTTTAAGTTGTTTAATATAGCTGTGTAATGTGCATTGTGCAGTTGGCCAGCTTTTGCCAACTACAGTATACGCCAGATTCATTGCAAGTTTGTATATGACATACAGTATTGACATTCAGTATTGACTATATGAAATTGTGGGTATACTGGCGTGCAACGGTGCAAGTTTGTATAATGTGTATTGACTATATGACATACAGTATTGACTATTGACATTGAGTATACTGGCGTGCATGTTTGCAAGTTACAACTGCAGATGTTATTCTTGTTTCAGGCTTTCAGCCATGTGCACGTTGTGGTTATGCAGTTGTGCACTGTTATAGTGTTATGTATCGAAAAACATATTCTTTTAGAGTGAAAATTTCAATTGTGCATGTGCACTGTTAGCACTTATCATTGATTGTTAAACCGAAACCGTACCGAACCAAAATAAGAAATACCGAACCGTACCGAAATAATTTAGTACGGTATTTGATATACACAATCGATAAATCGAATACCGAAATACCGAACCGAAATTCTTAAATACCGAACCGAAATTCTTAAATACCGAACCGAAATACCGAACACCCACCCCTAGAATTCACACGAGGTAATACTTTAAAAAAAATAAATAAATTGTTCAAATGATTCTTTTGCAGTGGCCTCATGTTCGAGAGAAATTCACTCTTCAAAATCTACGAAATTATTGAGGAATAAAAAATTAATATTCTAACTTTTTGGTCTACCAAGTCACGTCGTCTTTATTATTAATTCCATGATAGTACAAAAAATATGGGGTTTCGGCTGGATTTCATTTTTTTTTTAACACAACACTTGGATATTTTATATATATAATAAAAGGAGTTATATAGGCATAGTAGATATTTTTAGGGCACTACTATTATCCATAGTTGTCAAATAGTTACAAACATTTTTGAAAATACTCCTAACACTATTAAAAACTCTATGCTTGTTCTTGATCACTTCTTGTTCAACAAAGAAAGGTGGACATGCATGATAAAAATACTTAGATAATGGTAGGTTTTTGGCAGCTTGTTTGGCCAGTAGATGAGCCACCATATTGCCTTCCCTGAAATTATGCTTCAGTTGCGAGATCTTCAATTGGTGCATTAATCATCTGCATTCAAAAACAATATTAGAATAGTTAGTGTTATCCTCATAAATAAGTTTGATAACTTCCGTGCAATCAGTTTCAATTTCCATATTGAGGAAGTTCATGTCGTTTGCAATTTTCAATCCTTCTAGCAAGGCCAATAGCTCTGCATTGATAGGAGAAAATGCTTGACATGATTTATGGTAACCCACAAGCTAATCTCCTTTGCTATTTCGAAATGCTCCACCAAGACCTGTCATTCTATTCTTACTGGAGAAAGCACCATCACAGTTTAAATTGATCACATCTTTAGTAGGTTTGCCCCAACCGATCTCAACATTGATAGTTTTTTCCACAAAGGGATTTCTTTCAGTGAAGAAGGTGAATTCCCATGATGCATGGATAACCTTCCTTAATTCTAAATAGTTTTCCAGATTGTTAATGTTATTATGGTTTCTGTTTTTCCACAATTCCCATATGGAGAAGGGGAATAAAATAGTTCACTGTATATGAAGGTTACAATTTTTAATGAAAATATCTCTCAATATAACAAGCCAATTTGTGTCATTCCTAATATCCAATGATGGAAGACACATATTTTTTCAGAGATGATTAGAAATAGGGCATTTAGTAAAAATGTGTTGAATGTCCTCTACTCCGGATTTGCAAATTGGACAAGTAGCATCAATATTGATACCTATTTTAGCTAGGTAGTCTCGACAAGGAATACGGTTGTGCATGCATTGCCATAGAAAGAACTTTAATTTATTAGGGCAATGAAGACCCCAAATCCACTCAAATGGCTTGGGTGTATTATTGTTTTCAAAGAGGAGTTTATAACAAGATTTGGTGGAGAATATGCCTGATGTATTGAGATGCCAGCTTATTTTGTCAACATTGAAACCTTTGCTAGGGATGGGTGTAATGTGTAGATTGTTGAGGATATTATCGGGCAGCTCAAAGGAAATAACACTACTATTCCATTCTTTGTTATCAATGAGGCTTTTAATTGAAAGGGTTTGGTCACTCTTATTTAGAGGCCCTTCTATTACGCTTCTAAGGAGTTGCGAGTTGTAAATCCAATTGTCATGCCAAATGTTAATCCTGGAGTTAATACAAGGATGCCAAAGGATACCCTTGTTGCACACTTTCCATCCTTACAAAATCGCTTTCCAGATGAAAGAGGTGTTACTGAGCGTTTTCCTTGTGGCATATTTGGCTATTATAATTTGACCTCGGGGAGAGGTAATATTCTTTAAAAGCCTCCAAGCAAGACTTGAGAGTAGGACTAGATTTTTAGCTTTGGCTGGACGAATACCCGAACCCCCTTCAATTTTATCTTTTGCTATGTTTTGCTAACTAATTAGGTGAAGCTTTTTAGTGGTGTTTGTGGAACCCCAAATAAAGTCCCTTTGAATTTTATCAATCTTCTTTAAGAATTTAGGGGGGAGAAGAGTGTATTGCATAGAATGAGTAGGAAATGCACATAAAGTACTTGAAGATAGAGTAGTTCTTCCTTCCATATTTAGGAAGGAGCATTTTCAGTGGGACAACTCAGATTGCATCTTATCAATGATAAATTGGAAGTCTTTAGTGGTAGGGGATTGGTTGAGGATTGGGAAGCCAAGGTACTTACCAAATTCATTAGTGGATTTAATACCAAAGAGGTTGGTTAGGAATATTTTCAAATCCTCGGGACAATAATTAGGAAGGACAATCCTTGATTTGGCTTTATTAATGGCTAGCCCATATTCATCACCAAAAAAAAATCCATGTATGATTTAATGCAATGGAAAGTCTTTTTGTTAGCTTTCCCCATTAGAGTAATATCATCAGCAACGAAGATGTGGGAAAAGGAGGGGTCTTTATTTTTAAAATAGATTGGGTCCCATTGTAAAGTGTTTACTTGGTGGTTTATTAGTCTAGATAATAGTTCAAGGAAAAGGATGAATATATATGGGGATATAGGATCACCCTGACGAATACCTCGACTAGGTTGGAAAAAACTTGTTCTAGCACCGTTTACTATGATACCCACAAAGCTAGTACAAATACAATGCATGATCAGACGAGATAACTTAGAAGGAAAATGAAAATACATAAGGGTCTTATAGACAAAAGACCATTCCAAACGGTCAAAGGCTTTTTCTAAATCCAATTTGATGATCATATCAAAGTTGGATTTTCTTGTTCTACGGCGGTTATTCATAATTTCTTGGATGATATTGGCATCATCGCAGGCTCTTCTATTCTTGATAAAGCTAGATTACATTGGACTAATAAGGTAAGGGAGAAAAGGTTTTATCCTATTAGCAATGATTTTGTTATTATCTTGTAGGATGTATTGCAAAGACCAATAGGTCCAAAATTTTTGAGGTTATTTGCATTAAGAAATTTAGGAATCAGACAAACAAATGTATCATTGTTACCATTTGGTAGAGATTGGGACTCAAATACCTTATGACAATAGCTTATAATGGAGTTACCAATGATATGCCAATATTTTTGATAAAAAAAGGATGGATGCCATCCGGGCCCGAAGCCTTAAAGGGTTTAAAGGAAAACAAAGATTTAGTGATTTTTGAATTGTTTAGAGGATTATCAAGACTACTTAGGTCCACTTTATTAAGAAGGGAGGCATCACCTATATTAATGTTGTTTGGGGACGAAATTTTTTATGTCATAAAAGCATTCCTAAAGAATGCTAGTGCATGGTCTAGGATTAGTTTTGGATCCGATATCCAATCCCCGCTGTCGCGCTCCCTTTTTTTCCCTCTAGGGAGAGAGAAATCGGGTTCCAAAATTCATGGAGGTGATAACTCCTTTCCTTTTTGGAATTGGATATTTGAAGAGTCGCCACCTAGCGAATTATGGTGAGTTAGGGCACCTAGAGCAATTAACTCTTAGACTAGTTTGCATTACTAGAGATTTAAGGTAAGGGCTCGTAATAACCTTAAGGGGAAGGTGTTAGGCACCCCTTTCAGTCCACAACGGTGGGTCCAGACCGAACTTATACTTACGAATTAGTCCTTTTAACAAATAAATAGTTTAAACACATACTTGCACATAAAGGCATGTTTTGGATATTGTATGACTCAAGTAATAAGATATAAAAGGAAAAAGACTTGAACAAGTTGCATACATATAGAAGAGTAAAGTTTAAATACTGGGAATTTGGAAAGAGGGGTCATGGGTTGGTTACCCTATAGGATCACCCCACACAATGTCCGGGAAACAGTCCTTAATGAGGGGCTACACGTGACATTATTGCGTAGTCATCATATCCTTACTACCCAATCCGTCCCCTTGGTCATAACCTAAAGCATTCTAGCAATCTTGAAAATTTCCTATGCGTGGACTACCCATTTCTTTCTCGTGGCCCTGGAGGTATTTAGGACCTCTATTTTTGGGACAGTTCTAGACCTTCCTAAGTTTTTAAAGGATAAAAGTCTAGGCGTCAATCAAGAATAATTAGGACTGCATTTAAAGAGAACAAATAACCAGCTCACAGTCATCTCCACAAATATAACAAGTAAATGCACGTCTTCAAACAATAGTTAGGTATTTAAGAGAAAATCCGATAATATGATATCTAGGTATTGGCCCAAGAACAGGTGAAGTTTTGAATAATGACAAATGAACTCAGTCATGGACCAGGTCCATCTTGTGAAGCACTGTCATGATCAACCTACACATGTGAGATGCACGTGAAGGAGATTAGTCCTACTGATCAAGCAGCAATATCTCCTGATCTGATCGAAAAGGTTGCATATTGGCTAAGGGGAGAAAGTCTCCTTATATGAAGAGAACACAATCCGGATAAAGAGAGTGTTAGATTTTGATATCTTCAAGGACTCAACTACGATAGAAGATCAGAAATTGAGTCCCAATCAAACTCTGACTTCTAACCTATTAAATGACAGTGATTTTTCTCTTTTATAGGAATTGAACAAATGCATAAGTTAAACAAAATTGAAAGCAAAAGAGCAAGGCAATTTTGCAAGCAATTTGTGTGAGATTTGCACTCCTGAAGCTACTTGAACGATATAGAAGAACAAGTTCCATTGTGTTTTTTTCTTATTATAGTTCAATTGTAGTAGGTGGTTTAAAGTTGTAC